CAGCCTGCCCTCCGCCCTGGGGTTGTGCCCCGCCGGGCAGGGGCCGTGAGGCAGCGGTGAAAAGCCTGGAGTAGGTGTGTGTTACACGTGCGCTTCATCACTGCGTTTTTCTTGTGGGTAAACGTTGAGCTTATACTACCAAATGTTCGGCAGAAGCTTCCCTAAAAAAAAACACAAAAAAACAACAAACCCACAATAAAATCTTAATGTACTGAAGTTGGATGAGAAATCCTGGCTCCAAGCCAGGCGGAGACATATATAATTTGGAGTGGAATTTTTGTGATGTTTGACTTATCAAGTGTCAAATTAACGAGATGATTTAACGGGTCCTTTGAGGCTTTTACCCTCAAGTGGAAATGCTGCTTTGGGAGGAGCTCAGTGGTTTCCACCAGTGACTGCTTGACACCTGCTCTGAAACATCCGCTGCCCGCCATGGACAGCTCAGCTGCTTCTGAAGCAGCAGCTGAACAAGCACAATTTTCAGGCTGGTGTATCATTCCAGTGTATGTGAAGCTCCTGCTTTTAAGATGCTAGTCTGTAACCTGTGCCTGGTCAACAGCTACCGCAGAGCATCCGAGGTGTTTCTGGGTTGGGAGATGGTAGAAAGGCAGCAACCAGCCCACGCCAAGCACGCAAAGCTCTGTTTCGTTGGTCAGAAATTTCTGGTCCCCGTCTAACAAGAGCTAAAATAAAAACACAAAGGCAGGGACCTGCAAATCAGTGAATTGTGCCTACTTGAAAATCACCTTATCTGTTCTGCCGTTGTTCCTGACTTAGTGATATAGGTGGGACTCGTCGCTCAGCTTTGTATCTTATAATTTACAATCATAAAGTGGTAGAGGTGAAAGATGTCTCTGACTTTTTGGTCAAATCATCTTATAAATGCAAAATAAAATGTGAAGTAATCTGTAACAGCATGCTTTCTCAGTTTTCTACTCCAAAAATCCAAAGCATTGAGACTTGCACCACTTCCTGAAAGTGTCTGGTTGTCACACCGGTTCATGATGAGGAGGTACAGGCTGATGACTGCCACGCTTCCTTAGTGTTTCAACTTACACCCCCCAAACTAAGCCAAATAAGTTTAATCAAGTGAAATTCTGGTCAACTATCTTTCCAAATCCAAGAATCTTCCCGAGATCACAACATTTAAAGACATTTTAAGTAATTTGTGATTACTAATTGAAGGGCCCCAGCTCAGGGATCTGATTGAGAAAAATCCCAAATCCCTTGTTAAGAAAGACAGTCTATCATATATCCTTCTATCTTATATACATTCAAATGAACTACATTAAATTTCAGTTGATGCATATGTAAGAATTTAATTTAAGCATATGTAAATATATGTAATTCTGTGAATCAAGGTTGAGATTTGCCTCACAGACTGTGACAATTGCCAGACTTATACTAGTTGAGTCACTTCCACATTTCTGTGGTGCATCTTGTTCTGTAGAGGGTTTGACTTTATCACATTTGCTGATGTATTTATTTCTACTAATGACCCATTCACTTTAGATACTTGTCTTTATAGCTCCTCTGCTCACATTTCTTGTACATCTGCACATCCTTGATCTATGTTTTATAACTGGAATTTCTTTTGTTCAGTGTAAGTTTGCTGATATCATCAATTCTGGTCAAATTTATATACATCCACATAGCCAGAAGCACAGATGGTAGAAATCACCTCATCACCACTTATGTCAATACAACAATACTGATTAATATTCCCTTATGCACTAGACAACATATACAGAAGTGCCTTCTCCCCATTATTTTCTGTTTTGAAACAAGCCTATTTCTTAGCTTTTTATTATTTTGCTTTTTGTAACATAGCAGCTTTCACAATGACCTTCTGTTCTGTTTTAATTAACGTGAAGAACTGCAGAGCAAATACCTCTTCTGGAGAGTTCCCTAGTTTCCTCAAAATCTGATTCAAATCAGCTACAGTTGCATAATTTATCTCCAGTCTGCTTCTTTGGAGGGTTATTATAGCACTTCAATTTGAAACAGTTCCTAAATACAACACTATCTTTTTTCATTTTCTTTTTCTTTTCTTTTTTTTTCTTTTTTTAATCTGCAATTTCTAGGAGGGTATATG